AACTTCACAGGAGTGTTGTGAGGATTGCATGGGTTGATAAAAGATGAATGCCTGTGCAGAGCCTGGCCCAGGGAAGGTACTTACCGTGATACCGTCATTGTGATTGTCTTCCCTTCAGAATGGGGCACTGCATGTGACCAAGGACCTGCTGTGGGAGCCGGCGACCCCTGGGCCTCTCCCCATGCTGCCTCCCCTTGTCGGTAAGGGTCTTATGCCTCCAGGCTCACTCCACGCTGCTCCCACTCCTGAGACCTTCCTCTCCCTGCTGAGCCTGTGCCCTCTCAGGGCCCTTGGATACTCCAGTTGCCCAGGCCATCTGGCTGTACTCCTGTGTCCTCCCCAGCCCTTTCCGTACCTCCTCCTCAGATTCCTGGGAACCTGGCCTGACTGCCCAGGACCTGCTCTTCCGAGGAGGGTACCGGTATCGGAGGCGACCCCGAGTCGTGCTGGATGTTACTGAGCAGGTGAGTGGGCCCACGGGGGATAGTGCTGTGTAGCCTGGAGACTGTAGTGACCTGGCCTCCTCTCCCCAGATCAGCCGGTTCCTCTGGGATCATGGAGACATAGCCTTTGCACCAATAGGGAAGCTGATGCTGGAGAATTTCAAGCTGGAGGGAGCAGGGGTGAGTAGCCGGTGATGCCAGGGTAGGGCCTCCCTGCTCTCCTTCAGGGGTGGACTCCAGGCTGTGTGAGCTTGACGAGGCCTTTCCATGCAGCGCTGCACCAAGAAGACGACAGTTGTCAGTGTGAAGAAGCTGCTCCAGGACCTCGGTGGACACCAGCCCTGGGGGCAAGTGGCTAATGAGAAAGGAGACGGCCAGGCCTAGCTGGTGGTGGGGAAGTAGGAGGTTGTAGGCTGCACATCCAGGTGTCCCTCATACCCACTTCCCCTCGCCCCATGCATTCTGAGCTGTACTTTGTTATATCAGACTTCCGACTGCAAGTCATCTCAGGGGAAAGCAGGTGTAAATTTGTGGACTTCAGGCATGGCTGCATCCAGATGTTGAAATAATATTCATAGAGCTGTGTCTCTCTTTGCTCTCTCATCCACTTGCCTCTGCCTGCACAGTTCCTAGACAGGTTGTCTCTAGGTAGCAGCAAGATGGCTTATGAGCTAAGGAAAGATCCAGTGTCCTTCCTGAGGCATAAGAAGTCCCAAAAAGGACTTTGGTCGGCTTGGCTTGGGTCTCACACCCATCCGTGAACCAGTCACTGTGGCCAGGTCTGGGTCATACGATTGTTTCCAGGGCAGGGGAACAGGATGGGGTAGTTTCTCAAAAGAAGAAATTCTAGGTAAATAAGAAATATGTCCACTGCACTTCGCCTCCTTGGGATGGGACCTGTTCTCCCCTGAGTGCCACTGAGTGATCCTCCTGCTGTTCTTTGGTGTCCCCAGGTGTCCCTGGGCTTCCCTCAGCAACCGACAACGCCGCTTCTCAATCCTCGGGGGCCCCATCCTGGGCACATCGGTGGCCAGCCACTTGGCAGAGCTGCTGCATGAGGAGCTGGTGCTGCGATGGGAGCAGCTACTTCTGGATGAGGCCTGCACCGGGGGCGCGCTGGCCTGGGTGCCTGGAAGGACGCCCCAGATCGGGCAGCTGGTCTACCCTGCTGGAGGCGCCCTGGACAGGCTGCGTATCCTTTCTCGTGTGACGAGATCCCAGCGGGCTCCCCTCTGATAGAGGAGATGCTGTTGGCATAGTTGAGGGAAGGGTAGGAATTTGCAGTGACCATAGCTCGTGCACTGATCCTTAGTGAGAGACCCAGATTTCCAAGAGGTTGTTCTGGCCCCAGGTGACAACCCTCAATTTCTTGGGAAACCTGGACACATCCAGCTCCAGGGACCTGTCCGGCAGGTGGTGACAGGCACCGTCCAGGGAGAAAGTAAGGCCCTTATACACCTCCCTCCCTCACTGGCTGACCTGCTATCTGACCCCTGACCCCTGACTCTCCATCCCTCCTTAGCTCTGCTGGCTGTCCGCTCTGACTACCACTGTGCCGTGTGGAAGTTCGGTAAACAGTGGCAGCCAGCCCTTCTGCAGGCAATACAGGTGGACAAGGGGGCCACAGGGATCAGCCTCAGGTGAGGGGGGAGTCAGGCTGGTGAGGAGGAGGGGCTGGGGGAAGGGGTGTGCAGCTTGATGTTAATGCGTTCCCGCCCTGCAGCCCTCACCTGCCTGGGGAGCTGGCCATCTGCAGCCGCTCAGGAGCCGTCTGCCTGTGGAGCCCTGAGAATGGGTATTGCCCCTTCCCGTGAAATCCTCCACCCTAACAGACTGAACTCTGGCCTGCCGCTCTCTAGTCTGCATGTCACGACCCTTGAACCCCTTCCACATCAGCCTGTCCCCCTGCCCATGGCTTGCCCATCTCCCCAAGGCTGCAGCAAGTCTACAAGGATCCTGAGACCCTCGTGTTCCGGGACTCCTCTTCCTGGCGTTGGGCAGACTTCACTGCCCACCCTCGGGTGCTGACTCTGGGTGACCGCACTGGAGTGAAGATGATTGACACTCAGGTATGGGGTGGCGGCAGGAGACCCGCCCCACCACAGAGCAGTGAGTGCCAGGCTGGCTGCGGGCCTGGGCAAGGATAGCATCACAGGCCTGGGAATGCAGGGACGGCTGACCCTGTGTTTTTCTTCCAGGGCCCACCGGGCTGTGGTCTGTTGCTTTTTCGTGTGGGGGCAGAGGCTTCATGCCAAAAAGGGGAACGTGTCCTGCTCACCCAATACCTGAGGCACTCCAGCCCTGAATGCCTCCCTCCTACTCTCCATCTCGTCTGTACCCAGGTGAGTGGCACCCACACTGCCCGGCCTTCCTCTGCTCTGTCTCAGATGGGCACTAGAGGCTGTGGCTTACCAGCGGCTCTGCTGGGCCCAGACAACCACAGGGCAAACCAGACTCAATCCTGGTTGAATCTGTAGCCCAAACACTCAGTGGGTTCCATAGCCGATGATAACTGGCAGGTGGGGAATAGTAGAGCTTCCGGCTGCTGCTAGGGGTGGAGCAGGGGAGGAGGGGCTGCACCGTTTCTGCTGTGCAAGAAGTGGAGGCTCTGAGGGAGCAGGTCTGCCTTCCACCCGCCCTCCTTGGGGCGTTCATAGACGTGCCTCAGGCACTCTCTGGGGGCAGGAGAGTGTGGGGGTGGCTTTGGGAAGTCCAGGCAGGTTCCTGCTGGCAAGGCTCCCCCACCTCTTTGGGCACCCCTTTCCCACTTGTTCCGTCTGTCCACCCAGCTGTTGGTCAGACTTGGCGAAGGTGCCACCCTCTCGGGAAGGGCCTCCTGTTTGGGTCTGGCAGGTGCATGCTGAGAGGCACATGCTGAGAGGCACTAGGAGGCTGATGGGAGGCTGCCCCTTGGGACTCCGCACTCAGCAGGAGAGCCACGTGGGCCCTGGGAAGGGCCACTGCACAGCTCAGCTCCCAGGTTTGGCCACATCCCCCTCCTTTCTCGGGGCCCCAGTTCTCTCTCTACCTAGTGGACGAGCGCCTCCCCCTGGTGCCGATGCTGAAGTGGAACCACGGCCTTCCCTCCCCGATCCTGCTGGCCCAGCTGCTGCCTCCGCCCCGGCCCGGCTGTGTGCAGCCTCTGCTCCTGGGAGGCCAGGCCGGGCATCTACAGTTGCTGCACCTGGCAGGTGAGGGTCCAGGCCAGGGTAGACTGCGTGTGGGAGATGGGGTGGGCGGGGCCTGGTTGGGACCTCAACTGTCTGTCCTTCCTCAGGAGAGGGGGTGTCGGCACCCCGCCTGGCAGGGCCCCCCCAGTCTCTTCCTTCCAGGACCGACTCTCTCCCTGCGTTTCCTCTGCTGGAGCCTAAGATCCAGTGGCGGCTGCAGGAGCGCCTGAAAGCTCCGACCATAGGTGTGCTGGGGGAGGGGAGCGAGTTTGGGGGTGGGGGGCTAAGTGGAAAACACCCCCTCCCCCGCTAGACCCTGCCGGTTATTGTCATGCCCGTCTCCAGGTCTGGCCGCTGTTGTCCCACCCTTGCCCTCGGCCTCCACACCAGGCCTGGTGGTCTTCCAGCTCTCCGTGGCGGGAGATGTCTTCTACCAGCAGCTCCGCCCCCAGGCCGACTCCAGCCCCCGCAGAGATGCCCAGCCTCCCGGTGACACCAGACCTGACTGCCGTGCCCCAACGGCTTCCTGGACGCCCCAGGACACTGCTGGCTGCAGCCAGTGGCTGAAGGCCCTGCTAAAGGTGCCACTGGCTCCTCCTGTGTGGACAGCACCCACCTTCAACCACCACCACCTGCTGGGCAGCATGGAGCTGCAGAGGGAGGAAGGGGTGGTGCAGCAGCCGGGCGTGCTCCGAGAGGCCATGGCCCAGGGTCGGCTCCTGCTGCAGAGAGACCTGGGCTCCCTCCCCTTGGCAGACCCACCCCCTGCACCCGAATCAGGCCCAGCAGATGAGCTCAGTGAGCGCCTGCGGGAAGCCTGGGCAGGCCGAGGGGCTGCCTGGTGGGAGAGGCGGCGGCAGGCCAGGACCTCAGGGCCCAGGAGACAGCCCAGGCGGCCCAAGCGCCGGACCCAGCTGTCCAGCACCTTTTCATTCAGTGGCCATGTGGACCCCTCAGATGGCACCAGCCCCCCTCACAGTCCTGAGGGACCACCTGCTGGTGCTCTACCTCGGTCCCCCATAACCTCACCCTCCCAGGAGTTGACTCCAGATGCATGGTCCCAGGGCATCCCCTCAGAGCGGCGGCAGACCCTCCATGACTACATGGCCAAGCTACCACTCCAAAGGGACACCCCAGGACATGCTGGCACACCCCCCTCCTCCCAGGCCTCCAGCACCCGGGCCACCCACTCCCGGCAGCACACACCCATCCTCTCTGGCTCTCAGCACCCCCGGAAAAAGCCTCGAATGGGCTTCTGAGGACACAGAGTGGGCTGCCTCCAAGCCCCAGAGAGCCATCATCCTTCTCCACAGTTGAAACTTGAGAGGCAGAGCTCAGCACCTTCTGGAGTTGGCTATGATGATGAGCCAAGCAATTTGGAGCCAGGTTGAAGGGATAGGGCAACAGAATGTAATCGTTTTTTCTATTTTATGTATTCACCTGAAATCATTCCAAAAGGCAGCTTCGGGAGGTACTGGTGGGCCTGTGTTGCTGGATTCCAGTCTGTGCTGGCAGGCAGGGCTCCACTGCACTCCAACAAGTGGCCTCAGGTCCCTCCGTTCTCGTGCCTTCTGTCCTCCAGTGAAATGGGGGCAGTAGTGCTGCCTCCTTGTGTTTGGTGAGGCCCCTGCAGAGCTGCTGATGAGGTGGGCACAGTGGCCGTCAGCAGCTGCCGTTTGGGGTGTTTCAGCCTCTCCTGAGATGGGATGTTTTGTATGGGGAGACACCTTGGATCCCAGTTCAGGGATTGAATAAACTTGTCGGCTGGACATGAATTGGAATGGTCAGATGTTTTAGGCTGGACAGTGTCCCCTCACAGTAACTGAGCTCATGCACAGATGGCTGATGTTCCTTCTCCTTCGGGACATGGGTCTGGCACCTGTGGGCTCTTGGTAATGCCTTGTGAGTGGAGAGTCACGGTCACCTCAGTTTGGGAGAATTCCCCATTGTGCCTCATGGACTCCTGCCTATCTTTGTTCTCTCCCCTTCTCATTTTGATGTCTAAAGCATCAAGTCCCTGTTCCTCTGAGTTTCTTTAGCTGCAGTGGAAGATTCTGCTTTCCTTTAGAGAAAATGCCCACTTGAGATTGTATAGGGATCTGGGTGTGTCTGATTGCATTTCTGGTGACACAATAAGAGAAAGGTCTTTTGTCAGGGTGGCTGATGAAAGGAATTGCATGTGACACACACAACAGGAGATAGCCCAATCATACATTGACTCGTGTGGGTGTTAAAGTGTTTGTCAGGCCTAAAGGAGACATTTGTAATCACACCATTCGTGCTATGTATAACCAGGGGAAAGTATCCTTTGAGGACTGGGACCGACCTACTGTCCCACGTGGACAGGGAAGGGCTGGGCTGGGCAACTCCGGCACTTGTGGAAGGAAGGGTCACCTGTGCTTTCTCCCTGTCACTGTGACACCAAGGACTGGGGGGTGGCCTTGGGGTTCTGTCCAAATTCAGTGTCCTCAGCCAGGTGCAGTGGCTTATACTATTAATCCCAGCACTTTGGGAGGCTGAGGCAGGCACATGACCTGAGGTCAGGAGTTTGAGACCAGCTTGCCCAACATGGTGAAACCTGTCTCTACAAAAATGCAAAAATTAGCCAGTGTCCTGGTGGGTGCCTATAATCCCAGCTACTTCAGAGGCTGCGGCAAGAGAATTGCTTGATCCTGGGATCGAGCCACTATAATCCAGCCTAGGTGACAGTATGAGACTGCCTCAAACAAAACAAAACGAATTATTCAGCGTCCTCCAGACCTGCCCTGACCCGAGGCTCCACAGGCTGCAGCTCAGACTGCACTTCTTTCTTTTCCGTGCTGGTTCCTAGAGTGAAAGAGAAGGCCACTCTGTTCCTGGGAGACACGCTCAGGCTGCTCCCTCCTTCCTGCCTGCAGCTCTGCCGTCAGCCAGGCATCTGTCTTCAGAAGGAAGTCCAGCCCCCAGTGCATTTCAGATGAGAGTAGAATGATTTGGGCTCCACACAGCCCGATTTGGGGGTGTATCTGAAGGCAGGTACCGTATGAAAAAACAGCCCCAGCTACTTGTTCTCAGCACTAACCAGCTGCTCCCCAAAACCCCATCTGCCAGGCGCACGGGCCAGCCTGCGGCATGAGGGGAGGCCCAGTTCATTCGGCATGTTTTTCTGCATCCTCCGCAGCCAGGCCTCTGGCCACCATCCCTGCCTGATGCCCCTTTGCCTTCCCTGCCTTGAAGGCAGCTAGGACTGGCCTGGGATTCACCAGGGCTGGGGTCACTGTGGAGCAGCCACGCCCTTGTGTGGCTGTCACCTCGCTTGCCCCACAATCCCCAGCCATGGTGTCAGTGGTCCCCTCCAAAAGCCTAGTTTACAAAGGCCGAGGCCAGGGATGGTGAGGAGCGGGTGGAAATGCAGGGTTCTCAGGCTCCCATTGCAGGAGATCTGATGACCACAGGGGCCTCAGTTGCCCAAGAATAGGCTGGCTTAGCGTCTTTCTGACCCAGGCTGGCTACCAGCAAGTGGCAGCTTCAGAGCCATGAACTTAGGACTGGGACCTTCAGAGGATCTGCGTAGTCTGTCCTGGTTGACCCCCCCAGACACAGGACAGCTCGGGGTGAAGGCCGAGTGACTGCCCTGCCCCACCCATCGCAGGCTAGGGAGCCCACACCATCTCCACTGTGCTCTCTGCCCTGTGCTCTTACCTGGAGAAGAGGCTGCAAGGAAGTTGCTGTCGCTGGCCCCGTCTCCACTGGAAGTGAGGGGTGCAGCGTCTCTTTGGCAGGTTGGGGACATCCATGGTTGGCCAGAGGGCTCCTTGTCACTGAGCTCCTGGATCAGGGGTCGTGGGTACTCGGCGTCTTGTTTTTGGATTTCCGTGTCCCTCTTAGCTTCTTTTTTAAAGAGGTCTGTGAAGGGTGCCTGAGCCTGCTTTGAGGTGTCTTTAGAGACTGCGAATATATTTGACGGGGTGTCTGCAGACAGGTGTTCCAGCATGGGGAGTGATGTGTAGTCCAGTTCAGGGTCACTGTCATCACTCAAGCTCGAGATGACCTCAATCTTTGGAAAGCACATAATCTATTAACAGAAGAAAAGATGTGTTTGAAAGTTTGTTTGACGATGGAGTCGCTCTGCAATGCAGCATGCTGGTTCCGCTTTTTCATTCTAACGCCACAAACTATTCTGTTGCCACATCCCAGACAGGCTCAAGGGACACAGTACTCAAAGTCAGGCCTGGGGGTAGCTGCTCCCTGCCCACAGCTGATGTCTACGCCCATCTCCAGCCTTTCCTCCCCCAACCACTGGGTTTCCGCAGCACAGCGCCCTCCTGGTGCCTGAGTGGACGCACCCCTGAGCCTTGGGCTCTGGTTGGCATGCCCCTGACCCCGGCTTCATTCAGACTCTAGGACTTAGCTCCTGGGACAGCAGCCCCACCCCCCACCCCACAGTAACTGTCTGTTCTCTTGAACGTTGAGCTCATGCACAGAGATGATGGCTGATGCCTCCTTCTCCCTCAGGGCATGGGGCTGGCACATACGGACTCTTGGTAATGCCAGTAATGCCATCTGGGCAGAGGATCACATCACTTTGAGAGAATTCCCCATTGTGCCTCACAGACTCACCCCTTTCTCTCCTCTCTCCTCATTTCCTTCCCTCTTCCTGTAGCTATATTCAGACAGACATTCATAGGATGGACATAGAAATACATATTAAAGACAGAAAATCCAGGTAACTGCACTGTACCCAGCTATTAAAAACCAGCAATGTATTCCCAAGTGGTTAATCATAAAATCTTAAATCAACCAAAACAAATGGCAGCATTACCTTCAGCAAGGTGGAAATATGGGGGATGCATGGTGGCTCACGCCTGTAATCCCAGCACTTTGGGAGACCAAGGCGGGTGGATCACTGGAGGTCAGGAGTTTGAGACCAGCCTGGCCAACATAGTGAAACCCCACCTCTACTAAAAATACAAAAATTAGCCATGTGTGGTAGCACAAGACTGTAATCTCAGCTACTCAGGAGGCTGAGGCATTGCTTGAACCCGGGAGGCACAGGCTGCCGTGAGCCGAGATCGCACTGTTGCGCTCCAGCCTGGGTGACAGAGCCAGATTCTGTCTCAAAAAGGAAAAGAAAGAAAATATGGGGGACACAATGCTTTATGCACAGGAGCATTTTACTTTCAAGTTTAGGAGAGAAACTAAACAAGAAGGAAGGTGGAGTTAAGCTGACTGTGGAAGTTGGTTACTTGATGACCTTAGCCTGGTCTTGCAGAGATCCCACTTCATCATCATCTTCCAAGTCAGGGAGGTCCTGAAAGAGCAAGTGAGCTGATGTCACCAGGAGGCCGCCAGCACCCTCACAGGCGAACAGTCAACGCAGCGTCAGTTCCCAGTCGGCGGAATCGCGCAGGTGACTCCCCTGCCTGGGCCCCTCCACAGCAAACTCTAAGCACACACAAAGCCAGCGTTGTCACCTCAGGTGTCTGAATCTCATACATGAAGGGCAACTTGCAAGGTGTGACAAGTTTAAAGAATTTGCACATCTTTTTTCCACTTTTTTGTTAAAAGACACAGCCAGTTCATCTGGGGGAGGGGGAAAAACAGTGTAACTCTCACCACAAATGTGGATAAGGCAACTAGACAGAACTGCTTCCCAGTATAGCTTCCTTGGCAAAAACGAATCGAGTTTGGCAGACATGGTTCAAGGGCAGCGCTGTGGACCAGGGCTCCCCAGACTTGAGCACCCCGGTGTACAAATACCTGGGGCAAAGGGTTACAGGTGGATTCTGATCAGCAGGCCTAGGGTGGGTAACCAGTGCCCCAGCGATGCCAAGCCTGCCGGCCAAAGGACCACACTTGGGGTATGGAGGGAGGGGCGCCAAGGTTTGCATCTGATTGCCGAATTTACTAACTGTAGAACTGACACTCATCCCCGAGGTTAAATACTTCACTCACGTCAATGCGGAACGTCTCCTTTGTCTCCAGGTTAACGGTGTCTGCACCTTCCGGTCCCGTCCCGTCGAGTTCTGTAAGGAACGCACCCTCAGCGGCCACAGCCTGGTGAGTCAGGTCTAAGGAGCAACAAGAAGTCTTGGAGTTAGTTTAACACACAGTGGGCCAATGGACAAGCCCATGGTGAAGACGGACTCCCAGGCAGACAAAGGACAGAAACCCTCTTCAGGGCCCAAAGGCCAGCCCCCGTGACAGAAGCTGCAGCTCAGGACAGGCTTCTGTCTGCTGGAAAAGAACAGAATGGCTGCCCCTTTCTGTAACCTGGACTCGAGTCCCATGAGATGATGAGCACCGCCCAGGAGTCAAAGCAGCAGCCGCAGGCATCTTGGAAACAGCAGCTGACTGCAGGGTGACAAGCGATGCTAGCATGGGTGACTCGCTTGGAGACAGAGGGTCGGGCTTCACAGCCCACCACCAGCCTGTCCCTCAGCCAAGGCATGTGCCCCTCCTGCTGCGTGAGGTTAGGACGTGTGCAATTTCATAACTGCGAGATCACCTGAGGAATGTGGACTCTCGATGGGCCCCTTCATCGTCCAGACCCCTACTTCTGCTTTTTATGTTTTTTGAGACAGGGTCTCACTCTGTCCCCCAGGCTGGAGTGCCATGGTGTGATCTTGACTCACAACAACCTCAAACTCCCCAGGCCACCCCTCCCACTTCAGCCTCCCAAGTAGCTGGGACTACAAGTGCTCACCACCTAATTTATTGTCACCAGCTAATTTATTATGTTTTTGTAGAGGCTGAGGGGGCGCAGGGAGGGGGGCTTCTCACTGTATTGGCCAGGCTGGTCTCGAACTCGTGGCCTCAAGTGATCTGCCCGCCTCGGCCTCCCACAGTGCTGGGATGACATTCGTGAGTCACTGCGCAGAGCCTGCCCTACTTTTCCCCCGGGGCTGTATCCTTGGGTCCTGTCTGGTCCCTCCATTGCTCTCATGGCTTCATTTATGTCAGAGAGGAATGGCCCACCTTTGGCATCGTTTAAACAGTTACTGTTCAACCATGTCAGATACATACTGGATTTTGATGACTTAAAAAAAATGTAAAATATCTCATTGACAATTTTTATGTTAATTCCATGTTGACAGGATTATATTGTTTATACATTGGGTTACATAAAATATATCATTAATAGTTTTGCTGTTTCTTTTTACTTTTTTTTTTGAGACGGAGTCTCCCTCTGTCACCCAGGCTGGAGTGCGGTGGCACGATCTTGGCTCACTGCAACCTCTGCCTCCCAGGTTCAATTGATTCTCCTGCCTCAGCTTCTGGAATAGCTGGGACTACAGGCATGTGCTACCACATGTGGCTACTTTTTGTATTTTTAGTGGAGATGGGGTTTCACTGTGTTGGCCAGGATAGTCTCCAACTCTTGAACTCATGATCCACCTACCTCGGCCTCCCAAAGTGCTGGGATTACAGGGGTGAGCCACCACACCCGGCCTACTTTTTTTAAATTTTTAAATTTTTTTTTTTTGAGGGAGGGTCTTACTCTGTTACCCAGACTGGAATGCAGTGGTGCAGTCTTGGCTCACTGCAGCCTCAACCTCCTGGGCTCAAGCAATCCTCCTGCCTCAGCCTCCCGAGTAGCGGGGACTACAGTGGCACACCACCATGTCCAGCTAATTTTTGTAGTTTTGGTGGAGACAAGGTCTCACTGTTGTCAAAGCTGGTCTGGAACTCCTGGCCTCAATCCTCCTGCCTTGGCCTCCCAAAGTTCTTCTTACTTTTTTTAATGGAGCTACTAGAGAAGCACTACTCACAGTGGTTCCTGTCCCATGTATGCTGGGCAGCGGTGTTCATTACCTGTGTACGTTACCTTCTAGAAATAGCAACACAGAAGAAGTGAAACTCAGGCCTCAGGTCCCACAGAGGCATGAGTCAAAGGCTGGGGCCTCCTGAGAGGGGTGTGTATCTGTGTGTGTTTCTCTGCTTCATTACCTTCCCTGGCAGCTCCGAGGGGCAGCGGTGGTGGGGCCTCAGCTGGGAGGGTACCCTCTGGCTCTCCATCTCCGTCCTCTCCTGTAGACTCCACAGGTGGCAGGAGTGGCGGGTCCTCAGCTGGGAGGGTCCCCTCTGGCTCTCCATCTCTGTCCTCTCCTTTAGACTCCACAGGTGGCAGGAGTGGCGGGTCCTCAGCTGGGAGGGTCCCCTCTGGCTCTCCATCTCTGCCCTCTCCTTTAGACTCCACAGGTGGCAGGAGTGGTGGGGCCTCAGCTGGGAGGGTCCCCTCTGGCTCTCCATCTCCGTCCTCTCCGTCAGACTCCACAGGTGGCTCCTCTCCTCCACTTGACCTTTCCGGGTAGAGTTTATCCTTGGCCTCAAAGCATTCCTTAACAAACAGCTCCATCTTCTGCCTTGTTTCTGTGTCCCTGGGAGGCTCTTCCTTGCCTTCAGCACTGGTGGGCACGTTCTCACCATCATCTGAAGGCAGCATCTCCCCTAATGCAGGAAGATGCAAAGGTGAGTATAGGAGTCTTCCGGGAGAACATACATGTTCGTGCATACATCAGGGGTTCACAGCAAACTTCTGACACTAGGGAAGGGGTCACAAACAGTTTAAAAAGTGTCCTCGAGGGGACAGGTGCGGTGGCTCATGCCTATAATCCCAGCACTTTGGGAGGCTAAGGTGGGTGGATCACTTGAGGTCAAGAGTTCAAGACCAGACTGGCCAACATGACGAAACCCCATCTCTACTAAAAATACAAAAAATTAGCTGGGTCTGGTAGCATGTGCCTGCCTGTGGTCCCAGCTACTCAGGAGGCTGAGGCAGGAGAATCGCTTAAACCTGGGAGGTGGAGGCTGCAGTGAGCCAAGATCGTGCCACTGCACTCCAGCCTGGGTGACAGAGCAAGACTCTGTGTCCTAAATAAATAAATGAGGAACACAGTTTAAAAAGTGTCCTTGAGGAGCTGGACATGGTAGTTCAGGCTTGTGACCCCAGAACTTTGGGAGGTCGAGATCATTTGACGTCAGGAGTTTAAGACCAGCCTGGTCAACATGGTAAAACCTTGTCTTTCCTAAAAAAAAAAAAAAAAAAAAAAATATATATATATATATATATACACACACAAAATTAGCTGGGTGAGATGGCACAAGCCTGTAATCCCAGCTAATAGAGAGGCAGAAGAAGCGCTTCAACCTGGAGGCAGAGGTTGCAGAGAGCCACTGCATTCCAGTCTGGGTGACAGAATGAAACTGTCTCAAAAATAAAAAGTGTCCTGGAGGGATGTGCATCATTGTTGTTTATGATGGATAATGGTGGGGGCCAAATGCCCACAGACCGTGCTGCTGAGTACAGCCGGTTAATAGAACAGGATACAGTCACCAGGAAAACAGAATGCAGAAGTTCTTAGAAGAGGCATGCTAGCCCTCGGGGGATTTAAGGACTGCACCCTTTGCTTTTATCTTCAAATGGTTCAGGGGAAAAGCAAAACTCTGTGTGTGTGTGTGTGTGTGTGTGTGTGTGTGTGGCAAATGTGTAACAAATTATGAAAAACCACAGAATCTGTTCATAAACAAAGATATACAGCTATTCGTTTTACTATTCTCTGAGCTTTTCTGAAAATGTTTAGCATTTCAAAACAAAATGTTGGGAAAAGACAAAATATATGTAGTAAGAAAATGTCTATTGTATGGAAAATAGAGTATGCTAATTCAAAAGAGTAGACAGGAAGCAATATAATTGTGCCATTTTTATATAAAAATATATGTGTGGCTGGGTGCGGTGGCTCAAGCCTGTAATCCCAGCACTTTGGGAGGCTGAGGCGGGTGGATCACGAGGTCAAGAGATTGAGACCATCCTGGTCAACATGGTGAAACCCCGTCTCTACTAAAAATACAAAAATCAGCTGGGCATGGTGGCACGTGCCTGTAATCCTGGCTACTCAGGAGGCGGAGGTTGCGGTGAGCCGAGATCGCGCCATTGCACTCCAGCCTGGGTAACAAGAGTGAAACTCCGTCTCAAAAAAAAAAAAAAAAGAAAAGAAAACCAGCACGTCATTTATTTTGAAAAACTGTGTTTCAATCAGTCAAAGTGGTTTGAAGCAGCTCACCACCATTCGAGGTTCTCACTGGTGCTGGCAGGTGGGTGAGGCCAACTGCAGATGGAGCTTCGGGTTGTGAGTAAATGGTTTTAAAAAAAAAAATCCCTGGCCGGGTGCAGCAGCTCACGCCTGTAATCCCAGCACTGGGAGAGGCTGAGGTGGGTGGAGCACTTGAGCCCAGGAGTTTGAGACCAGCCTGGGCAACATAATGAGACCCCATCTCTACGAAAAAATTTTTTTAATTAGCTGAGCATGGTGGTGCACACTTGTAGTCCTAGCCACTTAGGAAGCTGAGGTGAGAGGATCACTTGAGGTGGAGGTTTCAGTGACCCCAAGATTGTTTGACCACACTCTAGCCTGGGTAACAGAGTGAGATCCTATCCCCACCAAAAAAAAAAAATATATATATATATATCCAAGGCCAGGAGCAGTGGCTCACGCCTATAATCCCAGCACCTTCGGAAGCCAAGGCGGACAGACCACTTTGGGAAGCCAGGAGGTCAAGACCAGCCTGGACAACATGGCAAAACCCTGCCTCTACTAAAAATACAATAATTAGCCGAGCATGGTGGCACCTGCCTATAATCCCAGCTCTGGGTGGAGCTGAGGCAGGAGAATCCCTTGAACAAAGGAGATAGAAGTTGCAGTGAGCCGAGATCATGCTGCTGCACTCCAGCCTCGGTGACAGAGCGAGACTCTGTCTACAGAAAAAAAAAAATCCCCAGGATTAAAGACTGAGTTTGACAGCTTGGGCCTGCCTAACCTCACAGGAACTCTGCGGCCGTTGCCTTGGGCCTAGAGCGCCTACCTCTTTCTTGGCTCTCTCTCTGCCTTTTCCTCTCCTCCGCCCGCCGCTTGATCATGGCCAAGGCTTCAATGCTGTCTGTGATCTTCTTCTGCTCCCGGCTCTCCCACTGCTGCCTCTCCTCCTTCTCAGCTGTGTACCCTCCCCTGGCCCAGGCCTCTGCACAAGCTCTGTTGAAAACACCAAAGACACATAAACAGGGGAGGGGAACTCCAAACATATACTCTCCGACCACCTTACTCATTTCCTTCAAAATCAAAGCAAAGTGAGCATCAGACATGTGGCTGCAAGGATGACAGTTACACGTGGACATTTTACTATTTACAGTGGAACGGTCTGCACAGCCTTCCTAGGTATGGCAGCAAAAGCACAAGTGACAAGAGAAAAAATCGAGAAATCAGACTCCACCCAAATTAAAAACTTTTGTCATGCAAAGGATATCACAAGTAAAGTAGTATAAAAAGACAGCAGGCACCGTGGCTCACGCCTGTAATCCCAGCACTTTGGAAGCCAAAGTGAGAGGCTCACTTGAGTCCAGGAGTTCGATATCAGCCTGGGCAACACAGCAAGACCCTGTCTCTACTGAAAAAAAGTAAAAAGACAAAGAATGTAAGAAGATATTTGCAAATCATATCTTTGAAAGGGTCTTGTATCTGGAAAATATAAATAAGCCTAACAACTCATTAATAAAAAGATGACACAATTTCAAAATGAGCAAAGTTTTATGGGTTTTTTTTGGAGATGGAGTCTTGCTCTCTTGCTCAGGCTGGAGTTCAGTGGTGCAATCTTGGCTCACTGCAACCTCAGCCTCCTGGGTTCAAGCGATTCTCCTACCTCAGCCTCCTGAGTAGCTGGGACTACAGGCACCCGCCACCATGCCCAGCTAATTTCTGTATTTTCAGTAGAGACGGGGTTTCACCAAGTTGGCCAGATGGTCTCAATCTCTTGACCTCATGATCCGCCCACCCTGGCCTCCCAAAGTGCTGGGATTACATGTGTGAGCCACTGTGCCCGGCTCAAAATGAGCAAAGTTTTAAAAATCGAAAAGACCAGCAACAGACTGGGGAGAAAATACTTATAGAAAAAGACAACGGGGAAAGGGCTTGCATCCAAAACATATAAAGAATTTTTTAAATTCAAAGATAAGGAAACAACCCAATAAAAACTGGGCAAAAGATCAGGCTTCCTCACCAAAAAAGATACACAGATGGCAAGTAAGCCTGTGAAGATACGCTCCGCACCCCACGTCCTCAGCGAAATGCGAATGAGGACAAGATAACCTGATATTGCTGTGAGATGGCTAAAGTCCGACACGCTGACAGAGCTGTGCCAACGCGAATGAGGAGTTTGGGAAATCTCACTTGTTCCTGGGGGGAATGCAAAATGGCACAGCCACTTAGGAAGACGGTGTGGCGGAATCGATTCTTACAGGATGAAAATACTCTCAGCATCTGATCTGGCTATTGCTCTCCTAAGTATGTACCCGAATGAGCTGAAGACTTACGTCCACACTCAAATCTGCACATGGATATTTACAGCAGTTTTATCCTATTTGGCAAAAATCAGAAGCGACCAAGAATTCCTTTAATAGGTGTTTGGATAAACAAACTCTGGCACATCCTGACGGTGGAATATCATTCAGCAATGAAAACGAACGAGCTGTCAGGCCACACAGCGTCATGGGAGAAGCCTCACTTCACTGCTACATGAAAGAAGCCTGTCCATAAAGGCTATCTGCTGTATGAGTCCAGCTATATGACTTTCTAGATAAGGCAAAACTATGGAGACAGTAAAAAGATCAGTGACGCCAGGAGTTGGGGCTGAGGTGGAAGGGATGAATAGGCAGAGCACAGAGGGTTTTTAGGGCAGTGAAACTATTCTGTGAGATACTGTGATGGGGGACACATGACATTATACCTTTGTCCAAATCCATACAACGTGCAACACCCAGCGTGAGCCTTAAAGAAACGACAGACTTCAGTCAATAATAAGGTACCAGCATTGGCTGATGACTTGTCACAAATGTACCACACGAGTGTAAGACGTTACAAACAGGAGAAACTGTAAGGGTGGGTGGTATATGGAAATGCTCTCTACTTTCTGCTCAATTTTTCTGTAAATCTAAAACTGCTCTGAAAATAAAGCCTAAGCTAGTCGCAATGGCTCACACCTGTAATCCCAGCAGTTTGGGAAGCCAGGGTGGGCAGACTGCTAGAGCCCAGGACTTCCAGACCAGCCTGGGCAACATGGTGAGACCCCATCTCTACAAAAGGCACGAAAACTTGCCAGGCCTGGTGGTGCACACCTGTAGTCCCAGCTACGCAGCTGGCTGAGAGGTGGAGGATTGTATGAGCTCAGGAGGTCGAGGCTGCAGTGAGTCATGTTTGCACCACTACACTCCAGCCTGGGCGACAGAGCAAGACACTGTCTCAAAAAAAAAAAAAAAAAAAAAAGTCTTAATTTTTTTTAAATCGGCAAAGAAACTGAACAGGCATTTCTCCAAAGACAATGTAAAAACTGCCAGTAAGTACATGAAAGATGCTCAACATTATTATCTGCCAGAAAAAAAGCGGATGGAAACCACAATCGGACACCACTTCATACCATCCAGGAGGACTAGAAATAAAAAGACAAGCAGCCGGAAGTGCTGGCGAGGATATGGGAAAGCTGGAACTTTCCCACACTGCTGATGGGGATGTAAAATGGTACAGCTGCTTCTCCTCAAAACGTAAACATAAAGTCCCTGTATGATCCAGAAATTCCACCGCTAGATATATACCCAGGAGAAGACAACATCTGTCATCACAAAAATTTCATGATTCATAACAGCCAAAAAGTGAAAACAACCCTAATTTCCAAAAATGGATGGACAAATAAAATGGAGTGTATCATAATGCGGTATTCACCTGACAATGAAAGGAGGGAAGCACTAGATGGAACGCGCTGTGGCGCAGATGAGCCTTGACCATACGCTGCTGAGTGAAAGACGTCAGAAACAAAAGGCCACATAGCAGGTGACTCCATTTATGTGAAATGTCCAGAACGGGCGAATCGACAGAGGAGTGGCTGCCAGGGCCCGCGGGGACTGAGAAATGGGGGGCTGGCTGCTAATGGGGATGGTGTTTCCTTTTTAGGGTGATGAGAATGTTCTTCTGTTGTTTTTTTTTTTTCCTAATTGAGATGGAGTTTCGCTCTTGTCGCCTAGGCTGAGGTGCAGTGGTGTGATCTCAGCTCACTGCAACCTCTGCTTCTGGGTTCAAGCGATTCTCCTGCCTCAGCCTCTCAAGTAGTTGCAATTACAGGTGTGCACTACCACACCTGGCTAATTTTGCTATTTTTAGTTAGACCACGCCGGCCAGGCTGGTCTCACACTCCTAACCTTAGGTGATCCACCTGCTTCGGCCTCCCAGAGTGCTGGGATTACAGGCGTGAGCCACCGCGCCCCACCATGAATGTTCTAAAATTGATTGTGGGGATGGTTGCACAACTCTGTGAATATACTAACAGCTATTGCATTGTACAATTTGATTTTTATTTTTATTTTGAGAGGGAGTCTCCTGAACTCAAGTGATCCACCCGCCTCAGACTCCCTAAGTGCTGGGATTACAGGCGTGAGCCACTGCATCCAGCCGCATTGTGCACTTTAAATATGTAAACTGTATGGTATGTGCATCATGCCTCAACAAAGTTGTTATTTGATAAACAAAGTCTGGGACAGCTGTGGTGGCTCACACCTGTAATCCCAGCACTTTCAGAGGCCGAGGGCAGATCACTATGTCAAGGGATCGAGACCATCCTAGCCAACATGGTGAAACCCCATCTCTATTAAAGATACAAAAATTAGCTGGGCATGGTGGTGCGGACCTGTAGTCCCAGCTACTCAAGAGGCTGAGGCAGGAGAATTGCTTGAGCCCAGGAGCTGGAGGCTGCAGTGAGCCGAGAGTGTGCCACTGCACAACAGCCTGGCGAAGAGTGAGACTCCATCTAAAAAAAAAAAAAAAAAAAGGAAAACAGAGTCTGGTGGTGTGAAAACAGAAGGCTTACCTTCAGAGAGAAGAAGCAGATCACTGCTACAAAATCAAAGGTACAGGTGTTTTGTTTGGAAATAGTCAGAGAGGGTGTTGCAAAGTATACTAAAGCAGGGAAAGACCACAAGCCACTAAGACGGAGTATGCCAAGGAGGGTAAACCGTGTTCCAGGCCATTTACCACACAGCGAGGAAACCTCAGACCCTTTCATCTCAGGGCAGACAGCCAGCAAAGGCCTATCTGTTGGCTGCTACGTGCCAGGCACCGTTCCAGAGGCTGGGGCTCCATCAGTGAATGGAAGAGCTGATCTCTGTTAGAGGAGCCCTTTTAGTCGGGGAAGGCAGATCGTAAACAAGGAAATGCTTATATGTCAGAGGCTAATACGTCCTAAGAGGAAAATAAATCAGGCCAAACAGACATCAAGTGGAGAAGGTACTATTTAGACAGGACAGCTGTTCATAGAGAGTGCTTTAATCAAATGACAGGTGAGCAGACACCTGCTGCATCACAGACGACAGCAAGTGCCCAAATAATCAGTAAGCGGCTGGATTAAGATTCAGCGCTGGGAGTGTGGTGGCTCACACCTGTGAAGGCTTTGGGAGGCCAAGGCAGGAAGCTCACTTGAGGCCAGAAATTTGAGACTGGCCTGGGCAATGTAGTGAGACCCCTATCTCTACAAAAAAAAAAAAACGTAAAAATTAGCTGGGTTTGGTAGTGTACGCCTGTAATCTCAGTTACTTGGGAGGCTTGTGTGAGCCCAGGAGTTCGAGGCTGCTGTGATCACACCACTGCACTCCTGCCTGTGTGACAGAGTACAACCCTGTCTCTAAAAATAGACTCAAGTGACCAGGTGCGGTGGCTCACGCCTGTAATCCCAGCACTTTGCAAGGCCAAGGCAGGCGGATCACGAGGTCAGGAGTTTGAGACCAGCCTGCCCAATGTGGTGGAACCCCGTCTCTACTAAAAATGCAAAAATTAGCTGGACATGGTGGTATGCACCTGTAATCCCAGCTACTGGGGAGGCTGAAGTAGGATAATTGCTTGAACCTGGGAGGTGGAGGTTGCAGTGAGCCCAGATGAGGCCACTGCACTCAACCCTGAGTGATAGAGTGAGACTCCGTCTCAAAAAAAAATAAAGACTCAAGCCAGGTTAATCTGACTTTACAGCTGCACTGTAAAGGGCAGTGGCTCCTATTGTTCACATGCATGTTACCTTCTTCAGCATGGCTCCCAGGGTGGGGGCAGCATCTTCATGGGCAGCTGCTCCCACCGGTTCGCTCCTAAGAGCCCAGCACCTGCTAGAGGTCCTGCATGTTGCTCACAGGCACTCACAGGGACCCTGGGGCAATAGTATTATCATCCCCACTCTGCAGATCAAGAACATGCACCCAGGGAGGTTAGGGAGCTCCCCTAAGGTTGTAACATAGCCAGTGGCTGCAGAGCTGTCTTGGGAGTCAGGCCCCTGCACACTGGCTGCTCCCCCTGTCCTCACCACCCCGAGAACTGGGGCCCTGGGAGCTGGGTCCATTTCTGTTGAACTTCCCAGGAGCAGGTCTTCTACCTGGCTAAAGTGGAAGCTCTATTTGAAGTATGTGTTAATTTGATTTAAATTTGTGAGTATAAAAACATATTACAAGCTACATTTATTGTAAATGTTGTATAATGCAAAATTCAGATTGTACGTCTCGTCAAGCAGCCTATATGACTGATATTTTATTCTAGTTGGAATGACTAAATTGGTCTAAGTTAAAAAGTGAATTTAAAACACAGATAAAAGCAGTGATGATAAGCATGGCAGTCCAGGGTTCAATGTTCCAGATATTAAAGAAGCTCTTACAAATCGGTAAGAAAAGCACTTCAAAAAGAAACTGGAAAAGTCCCAAATAGAATATTCATAAAGGAGGAAACGTAAGTGTCCAGTAACAATGAAAACAATGCCCGACCCCGTCAATTACCCAAAAATGCGAATTTCAACGCGGTGCTATCTTCACCCATCAACTAACTTGGCAGAGATTTCTTTTCATGGTTATGTTATGTGAGGTTGTAAATTGGTATAAACTCTCTAGAAAACAACTAGAAAATATGTAAAAGAGTTTATACAAAGTCTCAGTCAGGCGCGGTGGCTCAAGCCTGTAATCCCAGCACTTTGGGAGGCCAAGAAGGGCGGATCATGACGTAAAGAGACCAAGACCATCCTGGCCAACATGGTGAAACCCCGTCTCTACTAAAAATACAGAAATTAGCTGGGTGTGGTGGCACGCAGCTGTAGTCCCAGCTACTCAGTAGGCTGAGGCAAGAGAATCACTTGAACCTGGGAGGCGGAGGTTGAAGTGAGCCGAAATGGCACCGCTGCCCTCCAGCCTGGCAACAGAGCGAGACTCTGTCTCAAAAACTAAGAAGAGTTTTTACAAAGTCTCAAACTGCATTCTTCAACACAGTGATACTACTCCAAAAATTCCATTCCAAGGAGCTCACCAGCAAAGAGGTAAATGACGTATACAAAGATATTTATCAAAAGAATATTTTAAAAATCTATGAATAGGTGCTCGAATTCCCATTATAGGCAATTATGTAGCCATGAAGCCTTTCCCAAAGAACATTTTTGATATGTGAAATTGTTCAAGAATCAGAAATTTTAAAAGTTTAATATTAAGCATGGACAACTATGACATTAAAATGTGATCAGAAGGCTTTTCTTACCTGTCCTTTGGAAAAACTGGTCTATCGTCCAGGTATGTTAAGTGCTTCAGTCGCACAGTGACGGTCCTTCTGTAATTAGCAATGTGGCTGATAACCGGGTTTCCCATCAGATTCAGTACACGCTGCAGGAAGACAAGCAGAACCAAACCCATTAGTAAAATATGCAACTGAATTACTGCATGTGCGATGTGGACTGAGAATATATAAACAAAATCTATTTTTTGAGCAAAACAGAAGTGCCAATATCATGTCCTGGTGACTCGATCCGAGAAATTGGGGGGTTTCCAGTGCCCTCGTGCGCTCAGAACTGTCTAGATCATTCAGCAGCCCTTTCTTCCACTTGAACTTCAGCTCTCAGATCTCATCATCCCTCCAGAACAATATTGGAAAACATTTCCTGAGGCTTTTTCTGAGTGCAGTTGATGATATTAGTTTTGCTACCCAACATCTTTTACTGAAATGCATCTCTGTGTAATGGACGGTTTTCGTTTCTTCCCAGCCAGGACCCATTTTAAGAAAACACACCCAAGCCAATAGACAGAGAAGCCGCAGTGACTAAGGGAAAGGATGGGCAGTGCCCGCTTACCTCTGCTGCGTGTCGCAGGATGGAGGGCCCTCTCCCTGGGCTCACCGATCTCTCTGATGTCAGTTAGGACCAGGGAGGAGAGAGGGGTTCAGCAATGCCACCTGCCATCCTCCCCCATCTTTAAATACTGTCACCTCCTCTATTGCCTTAAGAAATTCAAAGAAGTAGAATGCATAGGGGGCTGGCACAGTGGTTCACTCCCATAATCCCAGCACTTTGGGAGGCCGAGGCGGGTGGATCGCTTGAGGACAGGGATTTGAGACCAGCCTGGCCAACCCGGTGAAACCCCATCTCTACTAAAAAGACAAGTATTAGCTGGGCATGGTGGCGTGCACCTGTAAAGCCAGCTACTCAGGAGCCTGAGGCAGGAGAATCACCTGAACCCCGGAAGCGGAGGCTGTAGTGAGCAGAGATCGTGCCACTGCACTCCGGCCTGGGTGACAGAGCGAGACTCCATCTCAAAAAAAAAGAAGCTGAATGCTTAAGGCGACATGAGGGTGAACCATTTCAAAATCCGTTTGCCTGAACTGATGGAGGACTTTTCATATGGAAAGTGTTCCTTTATTGGAAAACACATCATAAACGAGTTAGTTTAGCATTTCCCAAACTTCATTCTCATGCCATCTTTCCCATTCTTGCTCTGCCTTCAAGTGACTTACCCTGCACAGGGTGGGGCGGTGGGAGCAATACACCCAGGCAGCAATAAAGCGGTACACGGGGTGGGGAGGATTCAAAAGCAATCATAAAAAAACTATTAATAGAAAGCAACCTGCTTTCGTTCTGGGCGGAACTGTGTCCTAATCAAAATTTCAGGTGTTAAAATCAGAATCGGAGGCACCTCAGAATGTAATTGTATTTGGAGATGAGACTTTTAAAGCGATGATTAAGTTGAAATGAGCTCATTAGGGTGGGCCCTGATCCAGTCTGACGGGTATCCTTAGAAGAAGAGTGGGACACAGGGAGCGCACAGCACAGAGGGAGGGACCCTGTGAGGACCCGGGGAGAAGACGGCCACCTACCAGCCAAGGAGCGGCCTCAGGAGAATCCAACCCTGCCCACACCTTGCTCTTGACTTCCAGTTTCCAGAATTATGAGAAAACAAATTTCTATTAGTTAAGCCACCCGGTACTTACGGCAACCAAACCAAAACCGAAACCAAAGCAAAGCAAAGCAAAGCAAAGCAGCGGGGGGCTGTAATCTAATAGAGCTTTCTGCTCTCACCATGTGCTGCCATTCTAAATGGGTCTCTCCTAGTACACACTACAGATCGCTCCTCAACTATGGCTTGCTTTCAGCTGACTCACTTTTTTCCTCGCTTATCAGTGCCCTAAGCAGTACACAATAAACTCGAGGGTTTCGTGCGCTAGTTTTGATATTTCTGTCCTAGTACACATACATGACAACACAGACACTAAGAAGCAAAGGCTACTAGACTATGCTCAAAAGGACACGGGAGCAACCTGTAGGCTTCTCAAGCCCAAAGGATGGAATTTTTTTTTTTTTTTTTTGAGACAGGGTCTCATTTCGTTTGGAGGGCAGTGGTGAAATCTGGGCTCACTGCAACACCTCCCGGGTTCAAGCAATTCTCCTGCCTCAGCCTCCCAAGTAGCTGAGATCACAGGTATGCACCACCACGCCCAGCTAATTTTTGTATTGTTAGTAGAGACGGGATTGGTCTCAAACTCCTGGCCTCCAGTGATCTGCCCACCTCGGCTTCTCAAAGTGCTGGGATTACAGGCGTGAGCCACCGTACCCTGCCCAGATGGGAAAATTTGAACATGAAAAATTAAAGTGGCGGCAAGAGTTAAATCATGTCAATATTGTATATATGAATGTATGCATTCATAATGATACTGAAAAAGAGAAAGGCTTCGTTGTCACCATGAGAGGCTGCTAGGGTCTTACTTAATTCATTTCACTGAAAATTGATAAATAGCCAGCCTGAGCAACATGGCAAAACCCAGCCTCTACAAAAAATACAAAATTAGCTGGATGTGGTGGTGCACACCTATGGTCCCAGCTACTTGGGAGGCTAAGGTGGGAGGAGCATGTAAGCCTGGGAGGTCGAGGCTGCAGGGAACCATGATTACACCACTACAGTCCATCCTGCGTGACAGAGCAAGACCCTGTCTCAAAAAAAAAAAAAAAGAAAGGCCGGCCACAGTGGCTCACGGCTTTAATCCCAGCACTTTGGGAAGCCAAGGTGGGTGGATCACAAGGTCAGAAGATGGAGACCATCCTGGCTAACAGGGTGAAACCCCATCTCTATAAAAAATACAAAAAAAAAAAAAAATAGCCACGTGTGGTAGCACATGCCTGTAGTCCCAGCTATTTGGGAAGCTGAGGCAAGGGAATCTCTTGAACCCAGGAGGTGGAGGTTGTAGTGAGCTGAGATTGCACCACTGCACTCCTGCCTGGGCGACAGAGCAAGACACCCTCAAAAATTAAAAAAGGAAAAGAAAAATAAATCGATAAATAAAAGGGCTGCACATCGATCCTGGCCTTTTCTGCATGAACCGGATGAACCACTAGCTGGCGAGTGGAAGCTCGTTGTAGAAGTATCCTAGCTAAATCAATGCTGAGAGAGTGAGATAACTGGAAAAATGGTCATTGTGTGGCTCCTAATGAAATAATTCATCTGGGAAACGTTCATCAGGGACTGCTAAAATAACTGGGAGGAGGAGTGATGGGGAACTTCAGAATGGCTGGAGCAGCCTGACAATATCTGAACCTACTAGTGAATCTTCAAATGAAAGGGAGAAGCAAGCAGGCCTCATGTGCCCCCGATGTGAGGACCTGGCAGTGGAAGGCCCTGGCACACCACAAGGGGAGATACTCAGCCTAGATACCATCCCGCCTCTGGTTCCAATATCATTTTACAGGAAATACCAGAGCCATCAGAACATGTTAAGTGGCACCAAAAGAATGCAATCAGCTACATGCAGAATGTGGGTAACACCAGACAGAGACCTGGTTTCCTTGAAAAATTAATTGAGTGGTGGCTGGGCATGGTGGCTCATGCCTATAATCCCAGCAGTTTGGGAGGTTGAGGTGGATAGGTCACTTAAGGTCAGGAGTTCAAGACCAGCCTGGCCAACATGATGAAATCCCAAATCTACTACAAATACAAAAATTAGCTGGGCGTGGTGGCAGGTGCCTGTAATCCCAGCTACTTCGGAGGCTAAGGCAGGAGAATCACTTGAACCCAGGAGGCAGAGGTTGCAGTGAGACAAGATTGTGCCACTGCACTCCAGCCTGGGTGACAGATCGAGACACTATCTCAAAAAAAAAAAAAAAAAAAATTGGGTGGGAGGAAATCAGGGAAGAGAAACTTATAGATCAAAAGAGAATGACAAGACAAATAATCCAAATGGAATGTCTGAATCTGGTTTGAATTGGAACAACACAATTGTCAAAACATATTTTTGAGACAAATGGAAAACAAATGTGGACTGGGCATTCAGCGTAGTGATTATAATATTCTAGATACAACAGGATTGTGATTATCCTTTAAAAAGTCCCTATCTGAGCCAGGTGCAGTGGCTCATGCCTGTAATCCCAGCACTTTGGAAAGCTGAGGTGGGCGGATCACCTGAGGTCAGGAGTTCGAGACCAGCCTGGCCAGTATGGCAAAAACCAGTCTCTACTAAAAATACAAAAGTTAGCCAGGCATGGTGGCACATGCCTGTAATCCCAGCTATTCAAGAGGATGAGGCAGGAGAATTGCTTGAACCTGGGAGGCAGAGGTTGCAGTGAGCTGAGACTGCGCCAGAGCACTCCAGCCTGGACGACAAAAGCGAGACTCTATCTCAAGAAAAAAAAAAAAAGTCCTTATCTGTCAGAGGTACACACTGAACTATCTGTGGGGAAAATAATATGACATCTGGCATTTCAAATACTCCAGCTAAAAACACAAAGAGGAAAAAAGTGTGAAAAAGGAAAGGAAGGGAAGCAGGAAGGAGAAAAAAGACAAAAAAGGACTTGATATTTAATGAACATAATGGAAATGGTTTTCTGTGGCGCTTTCTCGTTTCTTTTACCAAATCGGGCATGCATTCCAGAACGTTCAGGATCTCCGGGTCGCTCAGCTTGTTGTGTGAAAGGTCAAGGACACAAAGCCTCAAACACTCTCGTAGATGCTGAATGTCCTCCACAGTCTCCAGGTGATTGTGGGCCATCTGCAGTGTATTCAGGGCTGGGAGGCAGGCTGGAAGGTAAGGTCAGCAGAAGTCAAAAACAAAGGCATAAAAATCCTTGGGCCGGGCGCAGCGGTGCATACCTGGAATCCCAGCGCTTTGGGAGACTAAGGTGGGAGAATCTTTTGAGCCCAGGAGTTTGAGACCAGCCTGGGCAACACAGCGAGACCCCAAATCTACAAAAAGTAGAAAAACTTGCCGGGTCTGGTGGCAAGTGCCTGTGGTCTCAGCTACCTGGGAGGCTGAGGTGGGAGGATGGCTTGAGGCCAGGAGGTTGAGGCTGCAGTGAGCTGTAATGGCACTGCTGGGCTTCAGCCGGTGTGACAGAGCAAGACCCTGTCTCAAAAAGAAGCAAAGCAAAGTAAAACCAAAAGCACTTTTTGCCCATAATATAAAATCTCAGAGCCTCCCTCAGGGGAAAGTGATGGGCACATGACAAACAGAAACACTGCTGTTACTCTTACAGAGGTGTTCAATGGTCTTGATGTAATTGTTGCTGAGGTTGAGAGCGTCCAGTTTCTGCAGAGGCTCCAGGTTCTCGATTTTATGGAGCAAGTTCACTTGCAAGAAGAGGCAACGCAGCTCAGTTTGGGCCTCCAGGTTTTCAATTCTCCGTATTCCATTGCACTGCAGCCAGAGACAGCGCAGCCCTGTGTATTCTTCCAGGTTCTCAATGCAGTCGAAACCTGACAAGGAGGAAGCACGAGGGAATTAGGCTCCTACTCACAGGGCAGAGGGGTCACAGCTACCCTTGCTTTTGCCTACTATTGGGGACTGAATGTCTGTGTCCCTACAAAATTCATACATTGAAATCCTGACCCCTAATGCGATGGCATTAGGAGGTGGGAGTTTTGGGAGGGAATAAGATCATGAGAGAAGAACCCTCATGAATGAATGCGATTACTGGCCTCATAAAGGAGGCAGCTCCTTTGCCATCTTCACCATATGAGGATACAGCAAGAAAGTGCCATCTGAGGCCAAGCGTGGTGGCTCATGCTTGTAATCCCAGCACTTTGGGAAGCCAAGGTGGGAGGATCACGACGAGGTCAAGAGATCGAGGCCATCTGGCCAACATGGTGAAACCCCGCCTCTGGAAAAAAAAAAAAGTGCCATCTGAGAATAAAAAAGCAGGCTCTCACCAGCCACCCAATCTGCCAGTACCTTGACCTTGGACTTCCCAGCCTCCAGAACTGTGAGAAATAAATTTCTGTTGTTTATCAGCCACCCAGGCTATCGTATCTTGTTACAGCTGCTCAGAACGGGAGCAGACACCTACCTACCTGGCATCCACACCTCTTTCCTCCAGTATCAACTTTCCCTGGAGGGACCATCCTGCTCCTAATATCACCCGATGGCTCTCTGGACAGCCTCTCAGAGCCACCTCACTCATTTGGGGGTGGCCACACTTAGCCAAGCAAGACCAACTTTGATGAATCCTTGGGGGTTCTTGCTGAAACGACTGGTAGTCTTCCTGCTGGGATCACCCACCTGGGAGGGTGGAGCCTACTGCTACCTTCGTGGAGGCGGGTGAGTGGGGGTGAGGGTGGGGTGGGGGTAAACCTACCCTGAAAATGTCCCCACCAGGACTAACTCTAGTGCAAACTGTGGGCCTTGTTTTGTTCTCTTTTCAGTTTTATGAGCCAAATTTAGGGTTAAGACAAATATTTTCGTTTCCTTTAGTTACTCACCATCAGTGTGGAATTCATGCTTCATCTACTGTCACCAACACTTTTTAAAGTTATTTATTTTGTTGCCTGAAAAGGTTTTTATTAACAATTTTTAATATCTGTGGTGAGCAAAATAAAAACAAGTGCACTCCCCATCCTGCCAGGAGACTATCTGTTTTCGTTTTTCTCTTGCCCATTCCAAGCTTGCTATCAGCATCCGGAATATTTAAAATAGTTACAGCATACATTTAAACTTAGGTATTGTAATAGATAGATTGTTTTTAATCCTCTCTTTTTTTCCACAAGAATGTTTATTATTTTATTTCTTCAAGTTTTATTTTAAGTGCGTGGGTTCACATGCCGGGTGTGCAGGTGTGTTACGAAGGTCAACGTGTGCCATCGGGGTTCGCTGCACAGATCATCTCATCACCTAGGTGCCAAGCCTGGTGTCCATTAGCATCTTCCTGATGCTCTCCCTCCCCGCAATCCCTCTCCACAAAAAGTTTTATATCGGAAGTATCTGTCATGTTGCTCCAAGGTCTTCATGCTGAAGCCAGCATCTCTAAAAGATAGGAACTTTTGTCTTTAAGATAACTGCAACGCCACTGTGACGGCGAAACAGCAGGTCCTCAATGTCCTCAAATAGCCTTTGTTGTCTTTTTTTCCAAACTGTTTACTGTCTGAATCAACAGAAAAATAAGGTCCAAACCTTGTAACTAGTGGATGTCTCTTAAATCACTTTTTTTTTTTAGATAGAGTCTTACTCTGTCGCCCAGGCTGAAGTGCAGTGGCATGATTTCGGCTCACTGCAACCTCCACTTCTTGAGTTTAAGTGAATCTCCTGCCTCAGCCTCTTGATTAGCTGGGATTACAAGCACCTGTTATGCCCAGCTAATTTTCATATTTTTAGTAGAGACGGGGTTTTACCATGTTGTCCAGGTTGGTCTTGAACTCCTGACCTCAGGTGATCTGCCTACCTTGGCTTCCTAAAGTGCTGGGATTATAGGCACGAGCCACTGTGCCCAATCAACTTTCTTTTTTTGAAACAGAGTCTTGCTCTGTCACCTAGAATGGAATGCAGTGGTGCAGTCTGAGCTCACTGCAATCTCCGCCTCTTGGGTTCAAGCAACTCTCCTGCCTCAGCCTCCCAAGTAACTAGTATTGCAAGCATGCATCGCTGAGCCTGGCTAACGTTTTTTGTATTTTAGTAGAGATGAGGTTTCACTATGTTGGCCAGAGTGGTCTCAAACTCCTGATCCACCCACCTCGACCTCCGACAGTGCTGGGATTACAGGCGTGAGCCACCACACCTGGCCTTAAATCACTTTTTAACCTAGAGTGTCTGTGTGGGTGTCTCTTTCTCTCTCTCTCTTTCTTCCATTGCAGTATTTTGATGAAAAACTGGATTATTTGTCTCTTTGGGTTTTTGACATTCTGGTTTTTCTCCGTGGTCTCCGCTCCAGCTCTTGCCCATCTCCTTCCGCTTTGCTGGGAAAGACCTCAATTTGCCTGTTTAAGCCATCTCCAATCGGCTGCTGCCCCCTGGCTCCCACCATCACTACAACCACCTGGCTAAAGTCTCCCGTGAGATCCCAGTTGCTACATGCTATTGTCAGTCCTCTTAGCCCTTGACCATTCCAAGGTATCTGGCCCAACGGGCCCGGTGCCCCCTTTCCCAGCTTCCTCCTCGGGCTCTCTGGATAACTCTCTTGGTACCGATACCCTCCTGTTAGCGCTGCAGTGAGACAGGAGTGACCCTGATACAATGGAGTGATACAGTGTCACCTCCACTTTCATCTTGGCCTTGCTTCCCTTCTTGGGAAGTTGCTGCGGAGGAAGCCAGGTGCCAGGGAGAGGCTCACGTGGTGAGAAATTGGGGCCTCTGCCTGACAGCTGTGAGGTCTAGAGCCTAGAAGTGGATTCTCCAGCCCAGTCAAGCCATCATATGAGTGAGGCCATGCTGACAGTCTGATGAGAGCCTCATGAGAGACCCTGAGCCTGAGCCACCCAGCTAATCACTCCCTAGTTCCTGGCACTCAGAAACTTGGTGAGACAATGAGTTTCAGTTGCTAAGTTTCGGAGTAGTTAATTATGTAGCAATCGATAACTAATATGGGCACCTCTCTCTCCTATGTCTTCTACCTCTCTGACTGCCTCTACTTAGTCAAACTTACTGGTTCCATTTTTCTTCCCACCGCTTAAGTATCCATTCCCCCAGGGTTTGTCTGCTACACTTGGATGCTGGGTGGGGAATTCGGAGGGGGCAAAAGTGGAGATGAGGAGACCGTTAAATGTTGTTCACACCCATGAAGACATTTGTGCTGCTGGAGCCCTTTGGGCATCTCCCTGGCGTAGCACCGTCCTCACAGCAGCTGCCCCATCCCCCAGGACACCAAAGGCACCTTTGCCGGTTCCCTGTCTGCATTTTTAGCACTCAGCAGGGCTGGGCACACAGAAGGCTCTCGGCAAGCATCTACCCAAGAAACACATGAACCATCAGAGGACTGCTGAGCAAGTCCATCACCCCATCAGCACAGACTGGGAGCTCTCAGGCTGGAAAAAGCTGCCTGCGAACCTGAGCTTCCATTTATATGTGATGTTGGACTCCAGCCCTGGGTCCTGTTCATGCTTCCCCATCGTAAGAGGCACCCGAAGATCCTCATCATCTGTTTCCAACATCAAGCTGCAATCCTTCCCAACGTAGCCCTTCCAAGCCCAAAGTACCTACAAACTAGCTTTCTGGTAGGACAAATTAAAGTCCTGGCTGGGCATGGTGGCTCACACTTGTAATCCTAGCACTTTGGGAGGCTGAGGCAGTCAGATTGCCTGAGCTCAGGAGTTTGAGATCAGAATGGGAAACATGGAGAAACCTTGCCTCTACTGAAAAATACAAAAATTATCCAGGCATGGTGGCAGGCACCTGTAATCCCAGTTACTTGGGAGGCTGAGGCAGGAGAGGTGCTTGAACCTGGAAGCAGAGGTTGCAGTGACCAGAGACTGTACTCTGCACTTCAGCCTGGGCAACAAAGCAAGACACTATCTCAAATAAATAAGGAAAAAGGTTCCTCGGTAAATGATAATAAAAGATACCAGTGTGTTTCCTTGGTGTTCATACAGCCAATGTCTCCTTTGTGAACTCGGGTCAGGCAAGACTTTTTCTTGAAGGAAATATTATTCCTTTTCCATAAATCTCCACTAAACTTTGAAATTTCCTGCTTAGATACATTCTGAGAACTAAAGATGATCCCCAAAAGTAATTTCTTTATATGACTAGGCAGAATCTTTCCACCTGACATGAAGCACTTCCTTTCTTAGGTCCTTACCTTTAAAGTGTAAATACAGTGTATCATTCAATGCTGGGGTCATATAAAGCTTGTGCTGCTTGCAGAGTTTTTGCAGGGAACTTTTAGTCATTCTGTGAAAATGGAAAACATGCATAAGCTTATTGCAAATCGTCAGCTGTGAAATATATCCTCAAAGTTCTTTACCACATCCTTTCCTGCCTGAAATTCTGTAACACCCTATATGCCTGATACCTATTTTAAGTTCTTTTTCTCTTTCTTCTTTTTCTTCTTCTTTTCGTAAAACAAGCCAAATTGTTTTCAGCATTTTTTTTTTTTTGAGGTGGAGTCTCACTTTATTGCCTATTCAATGGTGCGATCTCAGCTCACTGCAACCTCCGCCTCCCAGGCTCAAGCGATTCTCCTGCCTCATCCTCCCAAGTAGCTGGGATTACAGGCATGCACCACCACACCCAGCTAATTTTTGTGTTTTTCGTAGAGATGGGGTTTTACCATGTTGGCCAAGCTGGTCTCAATCTCCTGACCTCAGGTGATCTGCTCACCTCGGCCTCTCAAAGTGCCGGGATTACAGGTGTGAGCCACTGCACCCAGCCTATTTTCAGCATTCTTAAAAATTTGCAATCTATGTTCTTTTTTTTTCTTTTGAGACAGAGTTTCACTCTGTCACCTGGGCTGGAGTGCAGTGATGCGATCTTGACTCACTGCAACCTCCGCCTCCTGGGTTCAAGCAATTATCTTGCCTTAGCCTCCCAAGTAGCTGGTGTTACAGGCGCCCACCACTACATCCAGCTAACTGTTGTATTTTCAGTAGAGATGGGGTTTTACCATGTTGGCCAGACTGCTCTCAAACTCCTGACCTGTGATTTGCCCACCTCAGCCTCCCAAAGTGCTGAGACTACAGGCATGAACCACTGCACCTGGACTAAAAATTGCAATGTATAATCTAATAAAACTACTTTAAATGGTGTTATCAGGAACTACTGCTGCTCCTATTGCAGGTCTGGCTTTAAAGCTGAATAGAATGTGCGCTCAGCTGTGCAGCAGAGGCAGGGCCATCATCACTCCACTCTCAGACCCGGGGCAGGCAACTCAATCTCTACCAGCCTCTATTTCCTTATCCGTAGAAGGTGGTGATTATGCCATTTGCCTTACTTCGTAAATGCACACCGATTGGCTGCATGCCCACATACCTGGAGCCCCGATCTTCCCTGTCTTCTCTTGGGTGCGGGAAGTGACCATCTGACCCGTTATCACCACTCTGTTTCTGCTGGCTTTGGGAGGATGTGTCAGAAGAACCCACACATGTTTCCTTAGGTTCATTAATTTCTGTAAAATAAAAGATATCAAGTCCATAGAGATCAAGATATCTATCAAAAAATGTCCCCCAGCTTCAGCTTGGTTAAGGACCAAGCACTTTTAGTATAGAATACCAGTATTCTTTAGTGGCTGGGCATGGCAGCTCAGTCCTGTAATCCCAGCTCTTTAGGAGGCTGAGGCAGGTGGATTGCTTCAGCCCAGGTGTTTGACACCAGCCTGAGCAACATGGCAAAACCCCATGTCTACAAAAAATACAAAAATTAGCCAGATGTAATGGTGCATGCCTGTAGTCCCAGATACTCGTGGGGCTGAGGCAGGTGGATCACTTGAGCTTGGGAAGTTGAAGCTGCAGTGATCCATGTTCACACCATTGCACGCCAGCCTGGGCAACAAAGTGATACCCTGTTTCACAAAAAAAAAAAAAAAAAGAAAGAAAAAGAAAAAGAACACCAGTAATCTTTAAATGAATAACAATTTTTTAAAGTACTGTCAAAGATTGTGTAAATTTCACTACTAGGTACATCTTCTATAAAAACGCTTGTAACAGGTGCACAAGGAAACATGGACAAAGATATTTGTTTCTGCCTTTTTTATAAAAGCCAAAAACTATTAATGATGTAAATGTCCATCCATAGGGACTGTTTACATGAAACAATGACTTGCTCTTCTGCCTTTGAGAAGAATGCACTTGAACTACATCCATCCATCCAGATAAATCTTAGAAACGTATATGGAGTGAAAGAAAGCAAGTTTCACAATAAGCACCGGATAACATTTATATAAATTAAAAATATGCAAACCTGGCTGGGTGTGGTGGCTCACACCTGCAATCCCAGCACTTTGCGGGGCCAAACTGGCTGAATCATGAGGTCAGGAAATCGAGATCATCCTGGCTAACATGATCACCCCGTCTCTACTAAAAATACAACAAAATTAGCCAGGCATGATGGCACACACCTGTAGTCCCAGCTATTCAGGAGGCTGAGGCAGAAGAATCACTTGAACCCAGGAGGCAGAGGTTGGAGTGAGCTGAGATCGCACCACTGCACTCCAGCCTGGGTGACAGAGTAAGACTCCATCTCAAAAAAAAAAAAAAATATATATATATATATATATATATATTCTATATATATATATATATATATATATATAGAAACCAATGCTATGCATTGTTTTGGGGCACATAGGTATAGAGAAGTGCTGGAAAGAATCCATATAAAATTCTGGACAAGGCAAGAAAGGAATGGGATTAGAAATGGGGTGGGGGACAGAGAACAAAAGGAACACAAACGTTATGTGAAATTTATTTATTTATTTATTTTGGAGACAGTCTCGCTCTATCCCCCAGGTTGGAGTGCAGTGGCAGGATCTTGGCTCACTGCAACTTCCCCTTGCTAGGTACAAGTGATTCTCATGCTTAGCTTCCCAAGTAGCTGGGATTACAGGTGCCTGCTATCATGCCCAGTTAATTTTTTTGTTTGTTTTTTCAGTAGAGATGAGGTTTTGCCATGTTGGCCAGGGTGGTCTCAAACTCCTGACCTCAGGTGACCTGCTCTCCTCAGCCTTTCAAAGTGCTGGGATTACAGGTGTGAACTATTGCATCCAGCTTTATTCATTTTTATTTTTATTTATCTTGCAGAGGGGCTTATTTCTTTCATTAAAAAAGACTTCAAGTAAATATGATAAAATGTTAATCATTTTCAGTTCTTGGGGGACAAAACATGGGCATTCGTTTTAATGTTCTTTGTTCTTTTGCCTTTTAAAAAATTTCTCAAGCAAAGTGTGGTGCAGCATGCCTGTAATTCCAGCTACTCAGGAGGCTGAGGCAGGAAGATTCCATCTTTTTCAAAAAAAAATCTGGTCGGCCACGGTGGCTCCCATGTGTAATCCCAGCACTTTGAGAGGCTGAGGTGTGAGGATCATGAGGTCCGGAGATCGAGACCATCCTGGCCAACATGTAAAACCCCGTCTCTACTAAAATACAAAAAATTAGCTGAGCATGGTGCCACGTGCCTGTAATCCCAGCTATTCTGGAGGCTAAGGCAGGAGGATTGTTGGAACCAGGGAGGAGGAGGTTGCAGTGAGCTGAGGTCACACCACTGCACTCCAGCCTGGCAACAGACCTAGAGTCTGTCTCAAGTTAAAAAAAAAAAAAAAAATCCTCAAAAGGAAAATCACATGAAAAGAGACAAAAATTGTGAGAATATCTTTGATAAAAAGAAAATGAGCACATTGAAATGAATAATTTTTTTCAAAGGTCATTCCAAATTGGCCAATTCAACTGCACTTAACATTAAGAGCTCTGGTCTGCTGCTTTCTGTGTGTTTGTGTGATCTATTGAACAAGACTAAACGCTCTGTGTGTGGGGAGTGTGTCTTCAACTCATCAATTTTGCATAGAATGCCCAGCCACAGGAAGCTGCAGATAAACATTTGTGGAAAAAGTAAAGAATAGGTGCTCAACATATTAATATTAATATGCAATCGATTAATAGCAAGAGCTAGTATTTAATAATGGCCCACTATATGCTGGAACATTTAGTTATAATTATCTCCATATGTTCCCATATAATTATCCCAGTTTACAGATGAGGATACTAAGGCTCAGAGAGGTTAAGCTCTGGGCCAACAGCCATAAAGCTGGCTAGCTGCTGAGCCTCCACCTGAACCCAGTATCAGTGGCTCCAAAGCTGGTGTCTTCCCACTGAGCCATGCCAGTTCCCTACGGCTCTTCACACAAGGTTTGTCTGGACAGATGATGCTTAAGATATATTTGTTGCCTGGAACACAAATCAGCTTGTTGCCTCGGTTCAGAAGCTGAAACACAAATCAATTATTTTTTAATCTAATCACTAAAAGGTTTCCCTTCGGGCACCTAGTCTAGTAGGGTGCAGAAGCTGAAGTCTGTCTTTTTTTTTTTTTTTTTTTTAATATTTACTGATTTATTTAGAAACAGAGTCTTGCTCTATCACCCAGGCTGGAGTGCAGTGGTATGATCTTGGCTCACTGCAACCTCCGCCTCCCTTCAGCCTCTGCCTTCCAGGTTCAAGTGATTCTCCTGCCTTAGCCTCCCAAGCAGCTGGGATTACAAGCGCACTTCACCACGCCTTGCTAATATTTGTATTTTCAGTAAAGACAGGGTTTTGTTATATTGACCAGGCTGGTCTCAAACTCCTGACCTCAGGTGATCTGCCTGCTTCAGCCTCCCAAAGTGCTGGGACTACAGGCGTAAGCAACCACGCCTGGCCATGAAGCTAGTCTTTCAAGTCCATTCTGTGAAACTATGGTGAGGGGGTCACACAGTGACCCCAGAACCACAAAGTCTTCATTCAGACTCTCTACCCTAGGTCAGGCACTGGACTGGACTCCAAATTCAATCAGGATGTGTTGCGCTGACACAACATGCAGTCTGGAGGGGGAGAAAGCCTTTGATCTTACGTGGTGACAGACTTGCGCCCAGCCGAGTCTGTTCTGTCACTGACTAGCCGAGGATTATCTCTTTGGAGCAAGTTTTATAACCTCTGAAGTATCTGTTTCCTTCTCTGTACCAACTGGGGAGAGAAGCCCCTACTGCAGAGCGTTGTTTGGTACCTTTATTACTATTATTTGGCTGTGAAGATCGGGTATGGGGTGTGGGAAGGAGGCTGGAGCGCCCAGCCGGGTTGGCCCCTTTCCCCCCGCCCTCCCTGGGGGGCGGTCGGCACCTTCCTTGCAGCAGCCCCCTAGGCCTGCGCTCGCATGGTCACCCGCAGACTCCTCCACGCCGGGCTCCTGCGTGCAGTCCAGCTTTGCTGCCCCATCCGCCTCAGGCTCCGAGGGCTCAGGGTGCATGTTCACTTCTGCGCCACCGAACGCCCCGCAGCTGTGGGGAGCCCAGTTCCGCGGCGGACGTTGCTGCCGTCCCCAGTCCAGCCGGAGACTCCCCGCTTTCCTTTCTCGCCAGGCGCTCCAGTTATTGCAGCTCAACGCTTTCCCGGTCGCCAAGGCAACCCCTGCGCACGCGCACTCGGGACGGGACTGCGCGCTGGGGACGCCGGGGACGGGCCCTGAGACGGCTCCGCCCTCTTGCGCGTGCGCGGGTCACGTGGGGGCGCGGCCGGGCGGCAGCTGAGGCTTCGGAGACGGGGGCGGTGGCCGCGCGGGTCTGGCGGGACCGGTTTAGAAGACTACGCCGCCTTGCAGGTATCGCGCCCCCTGCACCCTGGGTGTCCTCTCGCGATCCTTCCGCCCCAGATCCCTCCTTGGTCCCCGCAGGGCCAGCGGGCAGCTCGGCCCGACCCCTCTGAGTTCTCACCACGCCCCCCGGGCCCCCGGCTCCCTCCGCGCCAACCGGCCCCGAAGCCCGTCGGCGCCGGGGACCCCAGGAAATCTTTGTCCCTCCCTCCCGAGAGACTCTCTTTCCAGACCAAACACCCCAGCCCCGCCCCTTCACATCTCAGCGCTCCCCTTCCCTCGGCTCCATCCCCACGCCCCCCGCCGCGGCACTGCCACCCCAGAGTCTCCCTTCGCCCGGGCCTCGCCCCCCAAACCCCGGACCCTGTGGTCGCCGGCGCGTGCTCTGCTCTCCCTGCAGCCTCTCACCCGGCTCCTCCCCCGAGCGGCTCCTACAGCCGCCTCCTTTGTCGGTGCTGCATTATTCTCCTTTCTAAACGATTTGGTTTGAGTTGTTGCTGTGTTTTTCTAAAATGGAAATCATTCAGAATAATCGAGCTCCTAAAGAAAGGGCACGCCGATTCCTCATGAAGCGGTCGTGGGTTCAGCCGGGATTTCCGAGTTTGCTTGTGTTGACTGGGCCTTGCCGGGTGCTGGAGGGAAAGGGCTGGGAACACGAACCAGGCAGGTCCCTGTTCTCCTGAACGTGCCGCCCAAACACAGCCAGGGAAACCAGATCGCTGCAGCGCCCCTCGGCGATCCCAGCAGGATGTGTACAGGTGACTGCGAGGCTGTCTGGGAGTCTCACAGCGGGCTTCCTGGCCAGGACTCTGCGCCTTGATAGACCTCCATCTAAATTGCAGTCAGCCCTTTCTGAGTTGTGGGGTCCTGGGTATATTACTTTACCTCTGTAAGCCTCAATTTCCCTATCTGTAAACGGTAGCGTCTGACTGTGCTTTATAAGGTTAATGAGAGAATAAAGTGAGACAATAGGATAAAACACTTAGCAGAGTCTTCGGCATAAAGTGAGCTCTCAGTTTTACTCTGACCGCCATAGATATCCAAAAGCTAATGTCAAGCACAGTAATTGTGGCTAATAGCTTAGGTCTGCTAAGCGCTCCAGGACTAAGTGCTTTCTGTGGACCACCTCATTTTATTCTTTCCGTAGTTCTTAGGCAGGGACTGTTAACCCTTTCTGTACAGGTGATGTGAGCAACGTGCAGAGGCCAAGTAACTTCGCTCAGGACACACAGCTCTTAAATGGGAAGCTGGATTTCAACCCAGCCAGGCTCCTTTCGGAGTGTGTGATTGATTGAAGTGATCTCTCTCAGTCGCTCAGGCTGAAGTGCAGTGGTCCCTGCGATCTCGGCTCACTGCAGCCTCCCCCTTCTGGGCTCAAGCGATTCTGTGCCTCAGCCTCCTAAGTAGCTGAGATTACAGGCACGTGCTACCACACCCAGCTAATTTTTTTTTTTTTTTTTTTTTTTAAGTAGAGATGGGATTTCGTTGCGTTGGTCAGGTTAGTCTTGAACTCATGGCCTCAAAATGATCTGCCCACCTTGACCTCCCAAAGTTCTGCGATTACAGATGTGAGCCACTGAGCCCTGTCGAGTTTGTGGTTTTAATCACTGCAGGAATATTCCAGGGGCGCAGAGTTAAACAAATTAGTGCTACTTTTTTAAAAAGTAGGTTTTTAAAAATTGAAATAAAATTCACGCGACATAAAATTTGTCATTTTACCCATTTTAAAGTGTACAACTCAGTAGGTATTTTTGTTTTTGTTTTTTGAGGTGAAATGTCACTCTGTTCCCCAGGCTGGAGTGCAGTGGTGAGATCTTGGCTCATTGCAACCTCCACCTCCCAGGTTCAAGCAATTCTCCTGCCTCAGACGCCTGAGTAGCTGGGATTACAGAGGCGCACCACCAACACCTGGCTAATTTTTGTATATTTAGTAGAGACAGCGTTTCATCATGTTTACTAGGCTTGTCTCGAACTCCTGATTTCAGGTAATCCACCCACCTTGGCCTCTCAAAGTGCTGGGATTACAGGTGTACGCCACCACGCCCCGCAACTCAGTAGTTCTTACCATATTCACAATCTATGCGACCATCACCAGTAACTAATTCCAGAACATTGCATCACCTGCAAAAGAAACCCCAACCCCATTAGCAGTCATACCCCTTTTTCCTCTTCCCCTCTCCCCCAGCAGCCCTAACTTATCTTCAGTCTGTATGGATTTGCCTACTCTGGACATTTCATCCAAGTGGAAACATAAAATATATGGCCTTTTGCGTTTGCTTTCTGTTCCTTAGCACAATGTTTTCAAGGTTTATCCATGTTGTACTATGTGTCAGTACTTCATACTCTTTTAATGGCTGAATAATATTCCTTTGTATGGATAACACCATATTTGCATATTCATTCATTGATGGACATTTTTGTTTCTGCCTTTTGGTAATTGTGAGTAGGCTGCTGGGAACATGCATGTAGGAATTTTTATGTGAGCGAAAGTTTCTAATTATCTTGAATTATCTTGGGTATCTGCCTAGGAGTGGGATGGCTGATAATTTTAATTCCTTTTTTTTTTTTTTGAGACAGAGTCTTGCTCTGTCGCCAGGCCCCAGGCTGGAGTGCCTTGGTGCAATCTCAGCTCACTGCAACCTCTGCCTCCCAGGTTCTAGCAATTCTCCTTCGTCAGCCTCCAGAGTAGCTGGGACTACAGGCGTGCACCACCATGGCCAGCTAATTTTTGTATTTTAGTAGAGATGGGGTTTCACCATATTGGCCAGGATGGTCTCAATCTCTGTGACCTCCTGATCTGCCCACCTTGGCCTCCCAAAGTGCTGGGATTACAGGCATGAGCCACCTCGGCCAGCTAATTTTTTTTTTTTTTTTTTTCTGTTTTGAGACAGAGTCTCACTCTGTCACCAGGCTGTAGTGCAGTGGCGTGATCTCAGCTCACTGCAGTCTCCGCCTCCTGGGTTCAAGTGATTTTCCTGCTTCTGCCTCTTGAGTAGCTGGGACTACAGGTGTGTACCATCACGCTCAGCTCATTTTTTTTTTTTTTTTTTTTTGAGATGGAGTTTCGCCCTTGTTGCCCAGGCTGGAGTGCAATGGCACGATCTTGGCTCATGGCAACCTCTGCCTCCCAGGTTCAAGCGATTCTCCTGCCTCAGCCTCCCAAGTAGCTGGGACTACAGGCATGCACCAGTACGCCGGGATAATTTTGTGTTTTTAGTAGAGGCAGAGTTTCTTCATGTTGGTCAGGCTTGTCTCAAACTCCCAACTTTAGGTGGTCCACCTGCCTGAACATCCCAAAGTGCTGGGATTATAGGCGTGAGCCACCACGCCTGGCCACCCGGCTAATATTTTGTATTTTAGTAGAGACAGGGTTTCACTGTGTTGGCCAGGATGGTTTCCATCTCCTGGAGTGCTAGGATTATAGGTGTAAGCCACCGCACCTGGCCTATTTTAATTCTTATTGCACAAATACAGACATGACATCTTGGATGAGAATCCAGGTTTCTAATTCTGTGTTGCTGTTCTTTTAGCTCAGCTTCGTTGTGCATTTAGTCCTGTACCAAAAATTGGCAGTGAAGGTAAAGAAACCCCAAAAAGTTGGGAGGCCGAGGCAGGTGGATCATGAGGTCAAGAGATTGAGACCATCCTGGTCAACATGGTGAAATCCCATCTCTACTAAAAATACAGAAAATTAGCTGGGCATGGTGGTGTGTGCCTGTAATCCCAGCTACTCGGGAGGCTGAGGCAGGAGAATTGCCTGAACCCAGGAGGCGGAGGTTGCGGTGAGCCGAGATCGCGCCATTGCACTCCAGCCTGGGCAACAAGAGCGAAACTCCGTCTCAAAAGAAAAAACAAAGAAAGAAAGAAAGAAACCCCAAAAGGTCATGATTCACCAATACTAACTTTGTCAAATCACTGACACAAAGTATGAGAAGCTTCTTAAATTTTTTCTCAAGAGTGAAATTTGAGCTTTGCACACAAAGCAGTATTTGATTCCGTTTACTAAATAAAATTGTCTACATAGCAACATGTCAGGTGCTGAGGAGGAATATTAAATATTAAATTTAATATTAAATCCCTCCCTTCCCAGCCTCGCACCAGGTGGATTAAAGACTTAGACTGAGGCCGGGCACGGTGGCTCAAGCCTGTAATCCCAGCACTTTGGGAGGCCGAGGCGGGTGGATCACGAGGTCAAGAGATTGAGACCATCCTGGTCAACATGGTGAAACCCCGTCTCTACTAAAAAATACAAAAAATTAGCTGGGCCTGGTGGTGCGTGCCTGTAATCCCAGCTACTCAGGAGGCCGAGGCAGGAGAATTGCCTGAACCCAGGAGGCGGAGGTTGCGGTGAGCCGAGATCACACCATTGCACTCCAGCCTGGGTAACAAGAGCAAAACTCCATCTCAAAAAAAAAAAAGACTTAAACTGAAAAAGCAAAACTGTAAAATTTAGAGAAAATAATTCAAAAAGAATTCTTCATGACCTGAGGCTAAGGAGGGATTTCTGAAATAAAACATGAGTGCAGACCCTAAAGGAGAAAGGTTGATTGCATTTGCTACTTCGAATTTAAGGCGGTCAGCCAGGTGTGGTGGCCCATACCTGTAATCCCAGCACTTTGGAAGGCCCAGGTGGGCAGATCACTTGAGGCCAGGTGTTTGAGACCCGCCTGGGCAACATGACGAAAACCTGTTTCTACAAAAAAGAAAAATTAGCTGGGCTTGGTGGTGCACGCCAAGCCCAGTTAGTCCCAGCTACTTGAGATGCTGAGGTGGGAGAGTGGCTTGTGCCCGGAAGGCAGATGTTGCAGTAAGCTGTGATTGTGCCACTGCGTATCAGCCTGGGCAAGAGAGCCAGACCTTATCTCAAAGTAATGACACCTTTGGTTGATCAAAGACACTATCATG